CAACAGCATTCCACCAGCCAGAGGGTGTCATCATGGTGACCTCTTCTCTTCTCAAGGTCCATCACATATTAAACTTTTGGTAGTAAACCTCAGGTGGTCCAGAGGTTGTACACTTCAGTTTTTATTCCATTGTGATAATTTGAAACACAGAAGTGTGACAACAAATGAATGTTGTTTAATCAGGATATCAATAAAGATCGTTTTCACAGCTGAGTCTTTTAATGAAACCTTGAAAGGTCTTTTGTGGACCTCCAGGTCAAACCCACTGGAAACGCACGACAGAAGCTTTAACTTTCTTTAGCTTTTCTTTTCTCATCTTCTTTCTGTTCTCATCATTCTTCTCCTTCAAATCACTTTAAAGTTATAAGTTCGTTTTGACTCCGCCCCCGTCGCTTCGCTCTCCACGTACCTGCAGGAAGGTGACGTTTCCTGCACCGCATCGCCTCCCTGTCTGCCACATCTCTCTCCGCCACCCTGGCGTGATGACTTCATTACCCCCGTAACCCAGCCCCCCCCCACCTCACGGGCGGCGTGAGGATGAGGAGGGGTCCAAAGGTGAGTTTAGAGGCCTCTGCAGGCCCAGCTGCAGACGGACGCACACACACGCACATGTATGTACGCACACACACCTCTCGTGACGAGTGGGCTGTTTTCAGGCTCCCTGCAGAACATCTGGATCAGCAGCTCTGTTGGACTGAATTTTTCTCCTCTGATTCCACAGATCGAGTGAATAAAGACACTTCCACCTCCTTGCTTTACCTCTGCACCTCGTCCCGAGCCCTCGCTTCTTTCCTCCCCTCCATCAGTGGTTGTGTGGGGGGGGGGACAACAAAGGGACGCTGCCCCTACCCCCCCACCTCCCACCCTCCACACACACACACCTCCACATCTGTGAGTGCCCCTCCCTCCCTCCATTATTGGGCCTCTTTCACTTGTAAATGTGGCCAGCGATACTTCTGATGGGTCTTTTATGCACACGGCCGGGGTCAGGATAGGACGGGGGGGGTTGTGTGTGGGGGGGGCGTATACAATGAGGGGCTGGGTTAGGGTTGATGGGTGAGGGGTGAGGGGGGGCTTAGGGAGTCTTGTGCAGGACCGGAGTGTGAGGGAACAATTGTGACAAAGCGTTAAATCCTTTTTTGTGTGTGCAGTCATTTGGGACGGTTTGGGACCAGCTCTCCGCCTCGCATTCCTGAGCCCCCCCTGCCCCCCCTCCCGGCAGGACGGGGGAGAAACGGGACGACGAGGGGCAGGAAGGACCACGGTGAAAGATCAACAGGCAGATGTTGCGTCGGAGGACAGAGGTGCAACAGGTGATGGACTCCGGTGGTGCTGTGCAGGAGGGGGGGTAGGGGGGGGGGGGCGTGGGGCGGGGTGTCACGGCCCGGCTGGCGGCTGGTGTTCTGTGGGATTATCTGTAATTTTAGCTCCTGCTGTGACCCCCTAACACACACACACACACAGAGGGGTGGTCTCAGTGGCAATCGTGTCACCGGGCCAACAGGTAGACAAAGGGGCCGCAGCGGGGGGACTCTCATTCGAGAAGGAGAGGGGGGGATCTCCTGGAGAGGGCTGATGGGAGGTGATGAGATGGGGTGTGTGTGTGTGTGGGGGGGTTCATGGAGGGGGGAGAGTAGGCTGACCTTGGCCTCTGTTCTGTGGTCAGATGGGGTGCGAAGGCCGTAAAGGAGGATGATGATGATGAGGAGGATGATGAGGATGAAGGCCTCTCGCGCTCTTCAAACCGATTTGATTAATGACTAAACACACTCTCACACACACACACACACACACACACACACACACACACTCACACACACACACAGACCCCGGTTGACCCCTCTCAGCCTGCTGCTCAAACAAGCGGCCCCGGGGTCTTTGGCGTGGTCACTTTCCCAACGCCTCTGATTGATGAGCGATTCCTTTCCCATCGCAAATTATGGTAATAACGGCGAAAGAGGCAAAGCGGCTGCAGCCCTGCAGCTGCTCTGCCGCTCGGCCTTCTGGGACAGTCTACTTGGTCAGCAATCTTTTAAGTCGAGACGCATGCATGTTTGTTTCTCCTTTGTACAGCTGATGTAAATTAGCATTCCTGCTGAATCTGTTCATGTAGTGCATTTCAACTATTGTGGATTCTGGTGGAATCGTATGT